TTGGCGTTGGCGTTGGCGTTGAATAATACCCCAGCCATAGAAAATTCAGCAATAATGACTAGGTCCAAATCCAAGATAACCTTTAAAATTCCAAATCAAAAGAATCCACACGGATTTAGGCACTAAATGGAGGATATTTTGCTTCAGCTAGAGGCTCAGCTGGTCTTATCAACTATTACACAACCCCAGTTCTTTTCAATTCAACTGGTCTCCTAGTTAACCGGTCTATCCACTATCAGCCGAACACTTAGGAATTTAAAAAGATGCATGTTTAGAATAATTTACTTTTTACTAATTTGCTTTTCTTTACTTATTTTATGCAATTAGATGGCATCAAGGAGTAAGGTACATGCGTCCCCTCTTAGCTAGATTTAATTTGATTTTTTCAAATTAATAAAATTTCTTCGCACCATCGAGGTTCAAAAAAAAAAAAAAAGATGATGAGAGGAGAAGCAAGTTAACTCTCTCATTATCCTTAACCCTATTTTCTTATCTCTTTCTTCTCTTGCCTCTTCTCCACTCAAAATCCTAGGATCTAAGATCTTTAGATTTCAACTTGGTGTTAGAGCAATCAAACGAAAGTTTGAAGTCACCGAAACATTCAGGAAGGCATTGGGAGACCGCTGGTGTCACAGACGTCATCGCCGAAAATGATCAAACTTGACATGGTCTAAATCGATTTTGTCTCCTAGTATGATGGTAATTTGTTCTGGAATTTTTTAAATCCATACGAGGTTTTTTTTTAATTTTGAATATTTTTTGAGATTTTCAGGTCATATTTCGTGATTTACGATTTGGCTGAGTTTCAGACTACTCCAACGACCCTAATGGCACCTGTGGCTGTTGACTAAGTCTTCTAGTAACTTTGGTGAAGTTCCGTGCACAACTCACTAGTTTTTTGGGCATTTTCTCTTCGGCAATTGGTGGTTTGCTCCAGCAATGAGTTTTTTTTCCTTTGACAGTGACATTTTTTGCTCTAAAAGTAGTGATTTGTGTTGGGCCTCAATAGTAATTCTCTAGCTTTGCTTTGTTTCAACCGTAACTATTTTGTGCTCTCCAGATTTGGGCTTTGTGTTTTTTGATATTTGTGGCCTTTGTGAAAAAAAAATTTTGGAGTATAGAAAGCATCTCCAAGGGAGATGACAAATCCTAGTTCAACAACTCTAACATCACTTTTTGGCATCCTCTTTTCCTCAAACGGTAATATCAAACGCTAACTGTGCTATGTCAAATGCTGAATGTGCTGGTCAAATTTTGATATGCTACCAAATTTGGTATACTCAAAGATCAAAATTTCGTTTCATTGCATTATTTCTGTCACCTAGAAAACGGAAACATTTCGACATGTTTCGAAAACGAGGATCAAAATTTCGTTTCGTTGCATTGTTTCTGTCACCTAAAAAAGGGAAACGTTTTGACATATTTCGAAAACGAGGATCAAAATTTTATTTTGATGCATTATTTCTATCACCTAGAAAACGGAGATGTTTCGACATATTTTGGAAAAGTTTCGACCCGTTTTGAAAACAAAATGAAAAAAAATAAAAATTTAATAATTATTTTTTCAAAATATTAGTTGAAATATATCAAAATATCTTGAAACATTTTGAAACATTCGAAATAATTGTGAAAGTGCATTGAAATATAACAAAACATTTTGAAACATTATAGAACACTTCGAAGTATTAAAATTTCGATTCTATCACTGATTATTTTCGATCTCCTTGCAAATAGAAACATTTCGAATGTTTCGACTGTTTCGAAATGATATTTTGATCCTTGTGTATACCGCAAAATATCTCATCTCCCATGTCAAATCCTTGCATATCTCAACTTCCTACTAATGCATCAAATAAATTTGGCATATAACATTTGACATATTGGTTGGAGTATAAGGTGAAGATGTCAAATGTTATATGTCAAATTGCCACATGGACCTTCAAATTTAAGTTTAACATATAGCATTTGTCATCTCCCTTGGAGATGCTCTAAGGTTGCTGGGTTTTGTATTTTATGTTTCCAGCTGCTAATTTGGTCCCTTTGTGTGTTGGGTTGATCCCAAAATTGTTATCCAGTAGTTGGCTTGTGCTAGAAAAGTTCTCTTTTGCTAAGAAAACATGTCTGAAGTTGGTGCAAAATTTACCAACACTGAAAAATGTGAAGTGAGTTGTGTAGGGACTCTTAGATGTAACTTTTCTTTCCAAATCAGTCCAATAAAACTGAATGGGGGCAACTATTTGGCCCGGTCTCAATGTTGCGGTCTGCAAATAATTGGATGGGACCTAAACCAATGTGAAATGAACCGGTCTAACAAAATTGAATTGGGCTAAACTGGCTTGATTAACTTTCCTTGGAGTTTTACTGAACTGAAATGGATTAGGCTTGGACTTGAATTGGACTGATTTCAAATTGGGCCTGATCCCTTCTGGATTACCAGATAAGCAATCTAAATGGGATGAGCTTAAGGGGCTCAAGTAACCCTAACCCAAATCACAATGAATTGGGATTGGGTATCCAGGAAGAGAACACACCGCAATAGGAAATTTCCTCCGTTGCCAAACACACTTGTCTTCTTCACAGGTGACTAATCGTAACCCTACAGGCATCGACGTTGGCATGAAGCAACACAATCACGAAACCCACCACTGGATTCAGCTTAGGAAACCACAACTCATTCAGAAAGCATCACCAACCAATCAAAATCAAGGGACAATTGAAATCAGTGGTGCGATCAAATGATGAAATGACTACACCTGAACAACCTCAGCCAACAGTGACAGGGATTGGGGAAATTAACACCCATCCATCAACAACTCTTTAACAGATCTCAAAGTCCAACGATCCTCACACCCAAGTATTGATTCCTGTCAATAGATGAACCAGAGAACAGAAGAAAAAGGAAAAAAAAATCTGGGAATTTTTGAAATTGTTTGAGCCATTCAAGATGGCTTAGATACCATGTAAAGAGAAGGATAAATGTTATTTTCTACGCTGTGTTGTGATGGCTATATCTCATACTTATGACTGTATTTATTATTTAATTTGACACAGTCGATAAAACGCAAATGTGTATAATGCAAGAGGTAAGTCTAACGTACAAATGTGGAGTCCAACATCTCGGAAATGGGGGTTAGCTCTTCCGGTTTAGGGCATGACATAATGAGGTTTGAGATTCTCCACATCCATAAATTGCATGTGTGAAGTTCGATCGATTACCCGAATTTAGGTTTAATGTCTTGTAGACGGATAGGGCATTAAGGGTTGAGTGTTATAGCTCTTCTGTTGCTGGAAATAGGTGTTCTGTACCTAGACCTCACTTTGCAAATGGTATTGACTGTGTTTTAGTGCTCTAGATGTTTCAAAATTTTAGGGATGAAATGTTGTGTCTAATTTAAGATGACTCAAAAATCACATACTCAATCAGTATTGTAGTTATGCATGACTAAAGGCCACCCTTAGCAACCACAGCTTTTTCCTTTCTTTCTTTCAACCACACTTAGATCTTTCATCAAGTGCCAATTGGGTAGGTTGATTTTTGTTCGAAGGGTGATCTGCAAACACTTTATGGCTCCTTGAATCATAGATAAATAAGAACTATGTTTATTGCGAAGTCCATAGGAAAAGTAACACTTCCATATGGCAGCCATGTGATGCTTACATGTCTCACTTGAAGGGTCTTACATCTCTATTAAGATGGATGGATACTGCACAATTACAAATATGGCTCGCAAATCCCATGTGGCCCAACTTGCCAGAATTAGTCCGTAAATGTGGAAACTCAAAAACAGGCTTACTACCCAGTGTTGCTCCAAACAATGCTAAGGTCTGAAGGGGTGACCTAGGTCCTAACCTGAATGGACTAAATAATTAGATATCCCACATAGTTAGTTAAATCAATTTCGTAAAATGCCAAGTCACACATTTCCGCTACTTTGGAAATTAAAATGGCTGTGGACTTGCACGTGAATGAAAACACCAGCTTAAGTTCTATAGAGCCCACATTATGCAAGTCCACCCCTGGCCCTTACATTTGTGGGACCAGCATAGGATATTGATGATGTTTCGTAAAGGTTTGCTGATCTCAAAAAATTGTGAAATAATGTAGAATGAAAGAAATGCAAAATTAACATGCAAGAGAAAGGCAACTTACTTGAGGAAGCGGTAATACAACAAACAAATCAATAAGAAAGTATCCTTTAAGGTAATTAAGAGCAATTTTTTTTGGATGATCTACCAAGTCTCCAGCACCCACCACTCTAGATTCAGGAGCAACATAAGCCAGCCTAAACTGCAAAATGACAAAAAAAAAAAAATCCAATGGTCATGCCTGGAACTACATGAGATCCAGCAAAAGCAACAAGACACCATATTGTGCATCCATCAATGCTTGATGGTAATTTTTTTCCCTTTGGCCAAGAATACAGACCTGGGGGAGAGGGGAGCATCGCTTTGAATGAGACTCGAACCCACGCCAATTGCAATGTGGGTTATGGTTCCATTACCATTGGGCCAATCTTTATCCCATCAATGCATAATGACTAAATCATTTGATTTAACATAATTCACACCAAGATATTAATCAAAAATACAAAACCATCAAAGTTTTATTCTCTAAAACATATCTCTTGCCCTCCCTGAGACCAAAAAGTGGATCTAACTAAATATACAAGAAAACTCGATGATAGATAATAAGAATACCCTTAACTTCCCACTTCCTATTTTAAATCACAATAGTGCATCCTAACCATAACAAGAAATAAACGACATCAAAAGGGATTATTAGTGATTTATAGTTAAACACTCTCAAACAATAAAATATTTTAGAGTAGATGGTTGATAACTAAGTCCTGTCATTCCTCGTGTAATTTTGTCTCATATTTCCAAACAAGATTAGCCTTCTACCTTCACCTCTCTTGCACAAAGTTCCCACTCATAATTCCTCATATCGTTTAATATGAGATCAAGCAAGAGAGAACCCGAGTTCTAATTCTCTCACAGCCATATAATTTCTCTCCTCTTTTCTCTTCTTCACCTTCTTTGTTAAATTACATTTACAGAAATACAACTTACATAGACAACTACATCGTTCATGATGGCATAATCCAATTATTTTGATGTGCATCACATAATTATAAGTTTTTGTCTTAATACCTGTCATAGTATAAAATAGTTACAACGCTGTAGTCTCCACTCTCATCACTTAGTATGAATATATACATGACGGTAAGGAATTTGTCTTAGAGCCCGGTGAAAAAACTAATATAATCTTGCAAAGAAAAGAAAACATATGCAAAAGTGTAATAGGGAAAAGAAGTATGCTACTTTAATGTTCCATAATAATGAAAACTAGATACAAGAGATACTAAATATAGAACACTAGTACAAAAAAAAAACCCAAATTTTTTTTATAAATAATATAAGTACAATCTTTACACCCCCCTCAAACTCATGATGTGACAATAGGGGGCATCTATGGTTTGTCGAGAAAAAAATGAAACTGTTGCTTGGTTTGAGACTTCGTGAAAAAGTGAGTCAATTGCACAGTAGGAAAAACAAAAGGAAAGAAAATAGTCTCAAGTTGAAGATGATAGCGCACAAAATAATAGTCGATCTTGATATGCTTAGTCCGCTCATGAAGAACAAAATTGTGTGCAATCTAAATGACACTTTTGTTGTCACAATACATAGAAGTAAGAGCAAAAAAGGAAACTCCTAGATCGGCAAGCAAGCATATTAACAAAAATATCTCTAATGTAATCGTAGTCATAGCGCGATATTCAGCAGAACGAAAACAGTAGCCTGTTTCTTGCTTTTTGAGGAAATAAAAGAATCACCTAGACAATCACAGAAACCAATGGTGGATTCAAAATCTATAGTATCACATGTCGGTCAGCATCTAAAATGGCATGAAGCTCCAAAGAAGAAATGGAAGAGAACAACAAAATATATAAAGTTCCCCAAAGATAATGCAAAATATGAAGAACTTTTGCACAGTGAATCATAGCCAAGGAAGAGACAACTAATTCACAATATGAATAGCATAAGTAATATCAAGTTGTGCAATAGTAAGATATACCAAACTAACTGTTAGAGTATTAATATTACGAGTAGTTTAGACATTTACTTCCTTCTGTGCTACCCTACTGTATAAGGGCCTACATCGTGTGTTTCAGGTTAAGCTGTAATATATACTAGATTAGTCGTAATAATAACTTTCACTTCTTTCTCTTCTCTACTATTTATTTTCTTATTTTTTTTATCAATGTTAACATGGTATCAAAGTTGATTACGATCACTACCATACTTAAGAAATTGTAGAACACAGCAAAAAAAAAATTCTTCAATCTGGAGCAGGCGAGAGCACAAAGCTGCTCGATTCTTCATAAACTTTCCAAAGGACTGTTTCATTTTTGATTTCGCGGTCATCTACTACGTCTTTCTATTTTTGGAATATTTTTGAAGACTTTATGTCAAAAGTTTTCGATCTACAAATCTTGGTGGTATTCTTCAGATCTAAGGCTTGATTTCTTGTCTAATGGATGCGATTTGGACTTCTTCGTGATGGTTTGACTGTTTAGAAGCTATTGGAGAAGATTTATTTGAGTTTTGTTCCAGATCTTTTGACAATCAAATCTCTGCTATGGCAGTGAGATCTTGGTGATTTGTGTTGGCTCCTCTCTTTGGTAGGCAACTCTTTTCTCTTTGGTTTGTGTATTGTTGATCTATTAGCTTGTTGGTTTGACTTGGGTTAGAGATTTTGTTAAAATCTGTTGGTTTTGTTGCCTCTACTAACGAGCGAGAGACAACTGACTGTTTCTTACTCTTTCAAGAGATAAGATGAGTCCCTCGAAAAGCACAAAAGTCCGTAGTAGTTCGACCGTCACACATTCTCCCATAATCTAAATCTGAATACCAGGCTAGAGAACTAGCCTGAGATCTTGATGTGTAGAACAATCCAAGTCCAGGACAAGACTTGAGGTACTGAAGAATATAATAAAATGCATTAAGATAAGGCTGACATGGTCTGTGCATGAACTGACTAACTCAGCTGACAGTGAATGAAATATCTGGCCTAGTATTGGCTAGGTAGATAAGTCTACCCACCAACCTCTGATAGACAGTCAGATCTTTCAATTCCTCACCTGCAGCAGCAAGTTTCAGATTTGAAATCATGGGTGATGATGCCGATTTGTACCCCAGCATCCCAATGTCTGAGAAAAGATCCAAAACATACTTTCTCTGAAAAAGAACAATACCCATACTGCTACGAGCAACCTCAATCCCAAGAAAGTATCGCAAAAATCCAAGGTCCTTCACATCGCAGGCCTTCCCAAGGTCTACCTTGACCTACGTAGTCCCATAAACATCATATCCAGTAATAATAATATCATCAACATATACCAAAAGGATGACACACTGTCTAGAAGTATTCTATCGAATGAAACAAGTATGGTCAGAATGACATCTGATAAACCCTAAACGTACAACTACATCACTAAAGCGAGAAAACCAGGCTCGTGGTAACTGTTTCAGTCCATAAAGAGACTTACGCAGTCGACATACCTTTCCAACATACGCCCCCCCACCACGAAAGCCCGGTGGTGCATCCATATAAATAATCTCGTCCAGATCACCGTGAAGAAACGCATTCTTCACATCTAATTGATGAAGAGGCCAAGAGTACTCCGCAGCCAGAGAAATAATTAACTGAACAGTAGTCAATTTTGCCACGGGGGCAAATGTAGCACCAAAATCACGACCTGGTACCTGAGTAAAGCCCTTCGCCACAAGTCTAGCCTTGTAACGATCAATAGTACCATCCGCAAGAAACTTCAGGGTGTAAACCCAGCGACAGCCAACAGACTTCACCCCTGAAGGTAAGGAGACAAGATCCCATGTATGATTACGCTGAAGAGCGTCCATCTCTGTCTGCATGGCAAGAACCCACTGGGGCTCCCGCTTGGCCTCTGAAATAGAGTAAGGAACCGGCGTATCTGATAAGGTCATACTATAAGCTCGAAATGTAGGACACAGATCACCATAAGAAACATAAGCAGAAATCGGATATAAAATCCTGGCAGTCCAACCATAACGAACAACTGGACAACGATCACACCGCAGATAACAACGTCCTAAATCATCATCCTCCACTGACAATGTCTCATCAAGTAACGTAATTGGTCTAGTACCTGTAATCTCATCAGTACCAACAACATGTGCATCAATATGCTCAACGTACTAAGAAGTATTACCTGCATTGTCTAAGGTAGAGGGGACATCAACAAGGGGGATGAGAGCGAGGGCGACGAACATCAACCTGCAAAGGAAGAGAGACTAGTGACTCTGTATTGACAAGGATGAGTGACTCTAGAGGAGGAAAGACGGATGACTCTGTAGTGATAGTGATCAATGACTCTGACTTTTGTGGTAATGAAAAATCAAAGAGAGTATCATCAACTGGAGGGGCAGACACTGAAAGAAAAATAAGGAATGTGCTCAAGAAAGATAACATCTAGATTGTGATACATACGACGCCTAATAGGATCATAACACCGATACCCCTTAGACTGATGGCAATAGCCTACAAAGACACAATGAATCACTTTATCATCAAGCTTATGATGAGTAGGAGACCGATCCTGAACAAAACATATGCATCCAAAAATATGAGGGGACACCGAAAAAAGTGTCCACTCAAAAAATAAGACCTGTAAAGGAGCCCTATACTGAAGAACACGACTCGGTGTACGATTGCATAGAAAGGTAGAAGTCAAAACAACAAAATGTCAATAAGATTTAGTACCCCCATGTCTCTAAACATATAACGTACCATTCCTATCAGACATCCTATTTTTCCTTTCAGCAACACCATTTTGCTTAGGATTATATGGACAAGTGAGTTGCTAAAGAATACCTCGAAAAGAAAGATGTTAAGGCATCAAACACATATTCTTTGGCATTATTCGAACGAAAAGCACGAACAATGACATCGAATTGTGTCTTAATCATCTGTAGAAATTGAGTGATTATAGGGAGCACATCGAACTTCCTATGCAAAAGATAGACCCAAGAACAACGGGTATAATCATCTATAAATGTCACATAGTATCGAGCACCTGACTGGTCCCCCAAATATCAGAGTGTATTAGGTCAAATGGCTTGGGTGACTGTTGCATTCGAGAAATATAATTGGTCCTAACATGTTTCGATAGGGAACACATAACACAATCAAGTTTACCACCAACACAAGCATTGGTCAAAGCAGGAAACAACATACATAAATATTTAAAATTTATATGTCCAAAACGGTCATGCCACAACTGAACAGTTTGTGACAAAAAATCATAACGACAACTACTAGGTAAAATACTAACATCCAAGCTAGGAACAAGATAAAGACAAAGCAAGTGCAGGTGATGTAGGTGGAGGAACTAGTGAAACTGGAGGTGGATCTTCTAGATAATACAGTCCATCTCTCTCATATCCCCTGATAATAATCCTCCTAGTACTTAGGTCCTGTAAATTACACAAATCAGATAAGAACACAACCGCACAATGAAAATCTCTGGCTAACTGATGTACAGATAATAGATTTATGGTCAATTTTAGCACATGAAAAACTGAACGTAATGTAAAGCTATCTAGGAGGCAGACTGTACCACTACTAACAATAAGGGCATATGTCTCATCTGCTAATTGAACCTGTAATACCCCGTTCTATTTTAGTAAGGAACTAGTTGAAAAATATCATCTTGTAAGGAATAAGAAAAATTTTAAAGAAGAATTTAAAATAGTTTAGAATAATCAAGAATATTGGAGAAGTTTCTAGAAAAATCTAGAATAGTCTAAAAGATTCTAGAAAGTTCAAGAATAACCTAGAATAGTCTAGAAGAATCTAGAATGTTGAAAAAAATTTTAGAAGAATCCGGAAAGTTCTAGAACAA